TAATACCAGTTAATGTAACTAAAAGAACAATCGGGGACAAAACTAGTAATTCACTTCCATGAACACAGTTTAATACTGTCCAACACTTCCTTGCAATCCGTAACACCTTGCTGAAAAATAATAACATTCTAATGAAGCCATAGTGAGCAAATAACAGAAACCCAAACCACTAGAAAATACTGAGAATGTTTTTTATAAATACCAAGATTCGTCCAATATAAATAATGAGAAATCAAAGAATTAGGAATGACCACCACAACCTCCAACCAATTAGCAAAAGCTAACAAAGTATTAAAAGTCATAGGGCACATTAGAAAGAGATGGAGAGGGTCTTCAACAAACAGAGAGCAAAAAGAACATAAATTGTTATCCAACTCCACACCACGTACTTGTAACAATAATTTGCACGGAAACGCATTCAAGAACACCTACCAACAAAATACCAGACACATGATCGAAGCCTTGCATTTCCAAATACTTTTTATAACTAGTTGAAAATTTAAAGAATATCTAAGTTCTCTACCCAACAAGTGCTATAGCCAAAGATACTCACTTTTTTACCGAGAATCCACCGTCCTTATACAAATTCATCTCCAATAACCTTGCTTAGAAGATAAAATTTACAAACCCTGAAGTATATCCAACAAGATATTCACATTATTAATTTCATAGACAAAAAGTTCTCTTCTCTAATTAACCTGATGATCTACATGTTGGGTGTTGAATCGTACATAATTTGTTTTGGGCTAAAGCAATTGTACATTATTCTTGTTGAGATATTGGTTTGTAATGGAACTAGTAGTGATGCTTAAGGAAGAAACAATATATTCACGTTTTTATGTGTTACGGACAAAATAGGACAGGCCCCAATTTTGTTAGGTCAAGCAAACAAAGGGGATTGGGCTTGGAACTGACCCATACGAAGTTATCGATGTTGACTATGAGTTGGTTGCTTTATTATTACATTTTGTCATGTTAATTAGGACCATTTTTCAGAGGTTTGCTTTGTTTTGCAATGTAGGAAACCTATCTTGATTGGAAAACTAAATATGTCACATTTCTGACAAGTGATGGGAATGGAATGGGACAATTAATGTTTGCCTAATTTATGATTGCCTTGCCTTGGATAAGAAATTTCAGATCCATTATTTGAATATTAAATTACTAATACTTACATTCTGCTTTCGGAATCAACTTTTATTAATGTTAAAATAATATTTAATTATTAAAAATTATATTTTATAAAAATAAATTAATCTTTGATTGCCATTCTTAGAATACTTAATATACATAAAATTTATTTTATACATTAGGATTGCTTCTTAGATTTGATTAATTCAATTAATATGTACATTGTACTTCTACTTCTAGAATCTATTTTCATCAATATTAAGATAATATTTGATTATCAAAAATCACATTTCATAAAAGTAGATTAATTTTTTAATCATCGTTTTAGAAGATCGTATGTACATATAAATTTTTTTATATATACGTTAGGGTTGTTAGTTAGATTTGGTTAAGTCAATTAATACGGGGAATCAAAACAAAACAACTACATTATTTTTCTTCTTCTCAATCAATTTCAATCCGAACCAAATTAACCAAACTTGATTTAATTTTCATGTTCAAATTTTTTAAAATTAAGCCAACGAAAATTAAACCGGTTCATGTATTTTATAAATTCTTTTTCTAAAGATTTTAAAAAAAATCCCCCCCTTAGAATTTTTTTTATTAATATTCTAAATTTAGGAATTATTTTTTTTATATAGATTTAAGTTTATTTATAAAAATATATTTTTTAAGTATTTATATTATAGGTTATTGATTTAGTAATCTAAAGTTAAATCATACCAACTTAATCTGTCAAGTTAGTTATTGGGTTTGTTGAATTTTAAACAAAGTTGAATCAACTAATTTTAGATTTATGTGTTTTTAATCTTTATAAAATTAGTTTTTTATTTTAATTCCTGTATTTTTTTATCCTTTTAAAATAAGTAAGTATTATTTTTTGCTCTTCTAAAATGAATAAAGTTTTGTTTGGTCCTTATAAAATAATTTTCTTTGTTTCCCATCATTCTAAAATTTAAATTACTATTTTTATTTTTAATGATCATTTTAAGTTAAATAATAACATTTGTTTAAAGGGTCTATAGAAAGGTTTAGAGGTGCTAACATATATCACTGACAATTATGAGTAACACCTTGGATACTCACCTAATCTCTTCATAAACACATGAGTAGTTAAATGTTCATATAATAATAAGAACTAAAATTAATAGTTTCAAATTTTTAAGAATGAAAAACAAAGTTGTTACGTACATGGATACAAAGGCAAATACAAATATGTTTTTTTGTTGTTTTCAAACGTAAGAATGAGGATAGGTACTACTACCTTACCCAGATCCTACCCATGTATCAAGTGTCTTGAGTTGTGAAATTAAATGTGCTTATTTACAATTTTGATGTGTTTTCAATTTATCACTCACTCTTTTTTTTGTGTGTTTTAAACATGTTTGAAACATATTCTTATTCCTCCATTTGTCTTTGTGCTTTTTGTTTTGTTCGAAATGAATGTCACTTTAGGTGATTTACATATAGATATTGTTGATCATGTGGGAGACGGAGCTTAGGCTACCTTTTTTTATTGCTTATGGATTTATGCTTTGATAAATGTGACATCGGAGTTTTGAAGGAAATTTGTTTAGTTTAATCATTTTAATTTCTTAAAAAAATATTGACTTATCTCTTAGTTTAAAAAAACTTATGTAAAGGCTTTTAGAGTTTTTATTTTATTTTAAAAGTGTTCATAAAAGTTTTTACAATTTGAACTTTTTTTATCCAAGTATTAATAATTTAATGTTTTTGTTTTAATTTTTTCATTTTAAATATATATTAAAAAAATCATCATGGAGTAAAATGGTGTCATAGGACCACAAACCAAACTATTTAGCATATATAACATATATTTGTTTTTGTTTTAAAAAAAAAGTTAATCAATTCTTTACTAATTATTTGCATAAATTATATTTGATAATTTGTGGTTATTTAGCTAAAACTTTAGACTATATGATGTTTGTGAATTGTTAATATTTTTTTTATATCTTATTTATAATATTTTAGTTTTTATTTATATTTTTCAAAAAAGTTTATATTTTTATTTAGGTTTACGATCTAGTCGATCAAGTCATGGGCCTATAGCAACTTGGTGTAGACTAAACATTATACTAGTTTATTTACTAATTAACGAGTAAATATCAACTTGTATACTTAACTCTTTTTAGGACCACAATCACCTATTTCCTTTATGTGTTTCAATTCTTGTCCCACCAATTGTAACTTGTCATGTTAAATGAAGTTCCACATAGATTAAAATAAGAAATCATTCAACTTGAAAGATCTATCACTGTAGCAAACCTATTACCAGCAAGCCTTATTCGAATCATTGATAGAGCGAGTTGCCACTTTTGGTTTCAGAGAAGCTTCAATAATACTTTCAATATTCAACAATATGTTGATGTATCTAGCAAATGTGCCCACACCTATATGTGAGAAATACTCGACACTACATTTGAATAGACTTGAAGTGGTTACAATTATCAAAATTGGCTTGGTCCAACAGGATGGCCCAACAAAATATGTTGGTCAGGCTATTTAGTTTTAGGTCTAAAAAAAACCAAGCCAAATTGACCAAGTAAAAATAGGTCCAAAAGGTATCAAACATATTTGGCCTCATATTTCTTTTTTTAAAATTGCATGTAAAATTATTAAAATAAATAAAGTTGAGCCAACAAGTTAGGTCATGCAAAAAAAAAAAAAAGGCCCATGTAAAAGTTTGATTTGGTCGTGCTAACCCATTTCTAATGCATGACCTAGTAGGCTGGGATAGGTTGGGTAGACTCATTTGACTGCTATAGATATGATGGAATTGTTGAAACTTGATTTGCATTTCTTCACTTTGGAGCTCGAGGTGCAAAAGCTACTCTAGAGTTTTATTTGAGGAGAATTCATTTATGTGGTGCAAATGAAGTGAGATAATTTTCAATTCAAATTCTAAGTGGGCTTCAAATTTGGCCCATGAAAGTATTGGTGGGGAGAGTGAGATTATGAAGAATTTCAATTAACATGATAAGTTTTCATTGATAGGAAAAGAAGTGAGGCAAAACACGAAGAAAAAAAGGTCGACTTTAGTCCTTCATTTATTACTCATTATTATTACCTTAATTTTAATGTTTCTCATTAACTAAATGGAATAAGAAGTAAAAAAAATCAATTTCCAATGAGTTGGTCCATGCCATCAAACCTTTTTAAATTACATGTAAAATGATTAAAATAAATAAAGTCGAGCCAACTAGTTAGGTCATGCAAAAAAAAATGCTTGATTTGGCTATGTTGAGCCATTTCTTATGAATGACCTAGTAGGTCAGGGTAGGTTAGGTAGAGTCATTTGATTGCTTTAGATATGATGGATTTGTTGAAACTTGATTTGGATCTATGTGCATTATTCCACTTTAGAGTTGTGATGATTATGACTAGAGCTTCGACTTTGGTTGACATTCTAAATTTGGAGCCTAAGGTGCAAAAGCTACTATATGATTTTATTGAAAGAGAATTCATCTATGTGGTGTAAATGAAGTGAGATAATTTTCAAGTCAAATTCTAAGTGGGCTTCAAATTTGGCCCATGAAAGTATTGGTGGGGAGAGTGAGGTTACGTGGAATATCAATTAACATGATAAGTTTTCATTGATGGAAAAAGAAGTAAGACAAAACACGAAAAAAAGGGCGACTTTAGTTCTTTCATTTATTACTCATTATTATTACCTTATTTTTAATGTTTCTCATTAATTAAATGGAATAAAATAAGTAAAAGATAAATTTCCGATGAGTTAGCCCATGCCATCAAACCTTTGAGATTTCCTTATAAATTGTCCTAATGACATAAGAGGTTCACACTGTATCTATTGTGCCCTTCTCTTTGTAATATCCCCATCGTTAACAATGGCAAATAATGTCCGTGCACCTTTCCTTTTTGCAGCACCACTATCATTGTCACCACCAACAACACCACCACCACCACCATCACCGCCATTAACACCTACCCTTGACACCTCTAGTGATTTAGATGAATATCCTGAAGAATCTAATAAGCAAGTTCAACCACAACCTACCATGGTTGCACTTGATAAGAGGCCCAAGGGGAGGCCATCTGGCTCAAAGAATAAGCCCAAATCAGCCATGGACATGTTCAAACCCATAATCTTGATAATTTCAACTGGCATGAACATTATCGATGCCATCATCGACTTTAGTCACAAGAAGGATGTCAGCATCGCTGTGCACCATGCTTCGGGTGCCATATCTGAGGTTAACATTTTCAACCCTTTACCCCCTTCTAATTGTTGGTCCTTTCAAGGAAACTTGCATATGTTTTATCTCTCAGGCTTTTATACCAAAAGCATTTCACCTTTTCCCCCTAACAACGTTCCTTATTCCTCCTTTAACATTCAATTCTCAATGGATTGGGTCCACCAAACCTTTGGTGGCCTTGTCGGACGCAAGTTGATTGCTGCGGAACCTGTGCATGTCTTTGCTTCTATCTTCAAGGAGAACGAGTGTGAAGGGGTGGTGAATCCTATCGCAAATCCAAATGTTCAATCTGTTATGATGAGTACTCATGTTACCCATTGTGTTGCTGATGCTTTTGTTGCCAACACTGACAACACAGTCTATCACCCTAGTTTCTCTATTGGAGCTTCAACCTCATCATCTTCAATGAATGACCAACCTCTTGATGCTTCTCCTGGAGATGTGAACATGCTTTATTGGAACGACCCCACCAACTAGGACAATAATTACCATGAGAGATCACCAAGTTTCATCTACAACTTTGTGTGTCTAAAATAATAAAATAATGGGCTTATTGTAAAAAATTTCACCTATGTATGTGTGTGCCTAAAAAAGGCAGAGAATAATAATATAAACATATTTTCTATGATGTTTAATGTTGAAGTTTTTCTTTTTTTTAATAAATTTTTTAGATTTCTTAAACAAGGGGGCTATGGTGGCCATAAAGCGTAGTTTTGAAAGTGGCTCTGTCCAATTCGATCGGGACCTAAACATACGACCCAAGTCAAGAATTGGATCAATTGTGCTACTAACCCAATGGTGACATCATCAAACTGAGGAAACCTAGTCTAAACCGCGTTAACTCAATCTGATCAGACCAATTTTCTTTTTTGAATTTGGAGCTCCGTAGAACTACCACTACAATAAAATTTAGTATTACCGACAATTATTTAATGACAATAAATTAATTGTCTCTATTTTATTATTTAATAAAAATATTAATGACTATTATATAATGGTTACTAAAAATGTATTTACATCACATCAAAATTTACTATTAGCGATAATTATTTGTTAGAAAAAACTTAAGTCCCACATCGACTATAAATAAAATTATTAAAGAGTATATAAGTGAATGATAACTCTCACCTTACAAGTATGTTTTATAAGGTTGAGTTAGGTCTATAACTTACTATTCTAAGTTGATATTTAGGAGATAAGATAATTAAAAAAATTAAAGAATATATACTTAGAAGATAACCTTCATCTTCTAAGTCCCACTTCAATTAAAAATAAGGTAACTAAAGAGTATTTGTACGCATCTTACAAGTCCTACATCGACTAAAAATAAGATAATTAAAGAGTATTATAAATCTTTTCTTAAACTTTTAGCGGCAATTTTAAATGTCAATAACAAATGACACAAAAAGTTATACACTTTTCTCGACTATTATGAGGGTCTTTACTAGCACATAGAATAATTGCTGGTAAATATTTTAGCGACACTGCATACAATGGCTAATGTATGAAATGCCGGTAAAAAATTTTGTAGCAATTTTTATTACCACTAAAAGTCATATTAAATGTCACTAAAAGTATTTTATTGTACTCTCTCCATTTTTTATTCATAGTCGTTTAAGGTTTTGCACGAGACTTAAGAAAATGATTAAAATTTTAGTTTTCAAAAATATATATTACTTACTTCCTATTCTACCCTCTATTTTTTTATAGTATTTCATTGGAAATATATTATCCTTTTAAATGCAACATTAACTTCACATAAATGGTTAGAGAAAAAATAGGTAGACATTAGAAATAAATAGACACAATGTTCAGCAAAACATACATTAATTATCAAGAGTAAAAATGAGAAAAAAAATTAATAAGTCATTGATTTTAGTAAAATGACAATGAAAAAAAAATGATAAATTCTGACAAAATGACTATGAATAAAAAACGGAGGGAGTAGTGCTCTTTTCTCAAGCCTCGCACTTACCTAATTTTTCATGCCTCGGGACTCACCTTTATTAATGTCTCGTGTGCTACTTTATGTCTTGGGACTCGCCTCCCACCATTGTTGTTGCTACATTGATTTGTAGTTGGTAGTTTTAGATCAAAGTAATTATTCAACAAAATAAAATAATGGTTAAAATATCTTTTTAGTCTCTATAATTTTATTTTCTTTACCTTTTAATCCTTGTAATTTAAAATAAACATTTAGTCTCTATTATTACTTTTTTTAATTCTTTTTAGTCCTACAGTTTAAGATAAACCTTTGTAGTCCTTATATTTGCAATTTTAATTTTTTAATCCTTTTACTCTTTGACATTATTTTTTTTGTAACGTTATCTCTTTTGTATTGATATAACATAAGCCTTTAACTTTATGTTTTTGATGTCAAATTTATTTTGTTGAATTTATTTTAAATTAGGTCTCTTAACGCTTTGTGTCTCTTTTTTATCCTCACATTTGACATCCATTGTTGATATACCATTTTTTACCCCTCATAAAATTGAAAACATCTATCATTCTAATACAAAGATGTTACAAAAAAAATAACGACAAAAACGAAAAAGGATTAAAAAAGTAAGTATATGAACTAAAAAAAAATATACCTTGAACTATAGGAACTAAAAATTATTAATAAAGATAAATATAGGAACTAAAAATATTTATTTAAAACTATAAGAACTGAAAGATAAAGTAAGCGAAACTATAAGAACTAAAAATATATTTTGACCTAAAATAATATTCATAGAAAAAGTAACTTAACCACTGCACCACGAAAATATTTTGATCAAAGATAGACAAAAATAATATATACACGTGAATGAAATTATATTATCTTCGTCCTTATATATAAAACCTTTTTCACTTTTTTGGTTGTCCCGTATTATAAGACTTTCTTCTAATTTTCAACTGCATTAATTATATTTTCTCTAAAATATTCTTATTTAACAAATAATTTTTTTAGACAAAAGATAGCAAATACTTAAAATTAATTAAATAAAAACTGTCTTTTAGGTTTGAAGAAGGTAAATAGACAGACGCACACATAGGGACGGATTTATATGTTTGGGAGCGGATGCAATTGGCTCCATTAAAATTTTACTCTCTCTCATTTTTTGTATATATTATTTTTTTTATAATATATAAATTATATTTTAATTTATTACAAAAAAATTGTTAAGTAATGACACACATCTTATAGAGACATAATGTTTGTTGCTAAAAACTATTTTTTACAGATATTATAGATATAATATATGTTAATATATTATTAAAAAAGTGTAAATGTAGACTATAGTGACACTTTTTGTATGTAATTATATGTAATATTTTTTGTAATGATTGTTTTTTATATCTAATATATTAAAATATATTAATATTTCATTTATATTCTATTTTATTGTGTAATTTCTTTCACTTTATGACAAAATTGTCTTAATTTTTTTATTATAATATACTTTATATTTTGATTAAAATATTTATTAGTTCTTTATTTATTAAAGATGTCATAATTTAATTTACAAATATAGGTTATTTTTCAATTTTTATGTTAGTTTTTAACCCTTTTGATCTTATATATGTACATTATGTGTTGGTAGGAGATGATCCAAATTAAGAGGAGTGAGAATAACTGTCACACAAAGTTTTTTTATTTTTTTTACTTAAACATATTTAATATAAAAAAATTTAATCTTATAAAAAAAATAGGTGTTGTTCTCATAAAATATTTCTGTTTTTAATAAATATAGAAATTTAGAAGAGATACACAAGAAAACAAATAGTAATTATATTATCTTTACCTTAATAATTTATACCATTTTGTTCCTCTAATATTTAATAAGTCATTAAAAATTACAAAACCACACTTAAATATAATATTAGAAAAAAATGTTACACTATTTATGAGAAAATTTTAATTTATAAAAAATAGGTATATTAAATTTTTTAATTAAAAAAACTTTTTCTAAAAAAATATTATATTTTTAATAAATTATAAAATATTTTATTGTCTCTACTTAACAAATTTCCGTCACCACACACACACACGCACACACGCGAGCACACACACACGCACACACGCATAGACACACACACACGCACACACACACATGTATATATATTCCAAACATTAACTAATTAGGTGAACACACACACAGATGTATATATATTCCAAACATTAATTAATTAGGTGAAAAAAAAGTGAATTTAATATTCTTAATTAAATTAACTAGTTTTCTTAAAAAATGTAATTTAGTTAAAATAGTCTTATAATTAGAGGCGAATGAAGTATTTTATTTATATCTTTAAAAAATGTAATTTAGTTAAAATAGTCTTATAATTAGAGACGAAGGAAGTATTTTATTTATATCTTTGTTTTTCCATATATTTTTTCATACAAAACAAAAATGTAGGTAATTTTTTACCATATGAGATTTAAATTCAACTAAATTTGATTATTTAGCACTTTATTGAATGCTAAGCCAACATGTTCTATTATTATACAATTGACATAAATAATTTATATAGTATATTTTTAAATTTAAAGTTATATTTGAATTTATGTTATTCAATCAATCTATAATTTGGTTACTCTATCAATATTATATTGATTATAATTTTTTTGGACTTTTTTTAGGTAAGACCTTAATTTTATTGAATTTTATAGGTGTGCGATATATATGACATAAAGGAATATTCAAACGATATTGGGTAACTTTTACCAACTATTATACCATTCAATAATTTTTTTATCAAATGTGAATTTTTTAAAACTTATTATTAGATTGAAATTTCCTTATTCCTAAATCATATATATAAAATTTTATATTAATCCGAGATCATTTGATACTTCATTTTTCTAGAATAACATTAACATAATATATACATTTTAAACTATACTAAAATATCAACACTTTGATTACTTTCAAATTGTTGTTTAATTTTAACAAAATTTGATATACACATACAAGGTGATATAAAGTTATAATTCAACGGCTAAATCAATAAAATTTACATTTAATTAAAAATTATTAAGTAGTGTAGTAGTTGTTAAAAGTTATAATGATATTATTTGAATCCTCCTCTATGACATAAATTTTAAAAATAATAATAATAATAATAATAATAATAATAAGCGGGTTATACAATTTGATTAATGATTTATTGATTCGACCTTTGATGACTGACTTATCTAATACCTTAACTGATTTAATGATCAATCCAATTTTTAAAACATTGTAATAGTGTTTATCTTAATTGAGGACTCTTTCTAACTAATCTATGTGTGTGTAATGAAGAAGAAAATAAACAGCGATGATAAACCAACTTTTGTGATTGGAGATTCCATGAAAAAGATTCGCTGAAAAATTAAGTCACTTATTAGTTTTGTTAGCACATATATAGCACATAAAATTGATTTTAATCAATTTTAATTTTTTAATCTCTTCATATGGTGTGAGGTGTGAGAAAAATATTAAAGTTGCATTAAT